CACTTATCTCTAATTCCTCCCCAAGCAAACTTCTCGAAGTTCCTCTGAATCTCTTCCTTTCTTTACAACACACAGAATTCTTCTTTGAAGCGACAAGGAGGAAGAAATCTCTCACTTTCCCTCCACTCTTACAATCTCTCGAAGAATTCCTCACAATCTAACCATAAAGTAAACTCTCTACACTCTCCAAACACTTGCAACTCTCCCGGAGAGCTTTCAAATTTCAGCCAAAATCTTCTTTTAAAGATGTGGAAGAGTTTTCCTAAGAGTTACCTAAGCATCCCTCCAAAAATCGTCCACATTCAATGCACCTTTGGAAATAACCGCCAATCTCATCGTCGGTGGCCTCGAGGGCGTTGTCGGCATACCTTCTAAATTATTTAATCTAGAGTCTCGGGAAATCATCGTCGGCGGGGTCAATGGCGCCGTCGGCGCCCTAGTTCAATTCTTCACATTTTTGTCCTTTTCACTCCAAATTCGTTCCTTTTTGCTACAATGATTTTGTCCTTTTCGCTCCAAATTCGCTCCTTTTTGCTACAATGCCTATAATTTATCATACATGCAACAAAACATCAAAAATACCTTTCTTTAAAATGCAATATCATCACAAACAGTATAAAATAGATATGAAAATCTCATCATATTTTCCTTTGGGCATATTCCTCCAGTTCAATCGTCCAACTTGAATTCTACTAATAACATCCCTATCTTTATCACCATCACTTTGACCAATAGAGCTGAGACATCTAAAACGTTCACTCCTTCTAATGATTTGTTCACCCATTATAAAATTGATGCCACTAGAGCTACTGCTACTAAAATTACATTTCATATATTCAGTTTAAGTCTACTCAAACGAAGGCATTTAGACTATATTGTAGACCTCCATAATTCAAGTTTTTTCTGAACTCTTTCTCTACTCCTATGTACAAGAAGGATATCATTAGTGCAAAGTGTACAACATGGTAAATCCCTCAGTAAAAGAGCATCCATAAATAAAGTAAAAAAGATACGGGCTTAAAGCCCATCCCTGATGTAATCCAATTGAATAAGAAAATACTTTGTCAATCCTTTTTTTTTCCAAGGCAAGTAACAACTCTCTAAAGAACTTCTGTTAAAATCTTACTGTAAGCTTTGTTTTTATATAAATGAAAAGCTTATATATTTCTCATTCAAATCTCTCCATAAATGTATAATTTTCATAGTAGACTTGTTCGACATAAATCCAAACTGAAAATGAAAATTCTTTGCATCATGTCTTAACCTATGTTCAATTACTCTCCCATAATTTTAATGGATGACACAATAACTTAATTCCTTTATAATTTGCACACTTTTGTGCATCACTTTTATTCTTAAAAATGGGGACCAAAATATTCTTCCTCCACTCCTTAGGCATCTTCTTAGCTTTAAAAGTAATATCAAAAGTTTAGTAAGCCAAGAAATGCCCATATCACCTGAATATTTTCTCACTTCTACTAAGATACTTTAGGACTTATTGAATTTCCACCATTGGTTTTTATTAAAGCCTCACCAAATTTTTTTTACTATTGTGACGGTAAAATTAAAAAAAAAATATTATTAGGAACGATATTTAAGATTACTATGGTTGATCATATTCTTAAAAAATTTAATGAAAAGTTTATCAAAATATTATACGCACTTATGTTGAATATCTTCTTATAATAAAAATACTTTTTTATTTTC